CTTCAAGGATTCATGGTAGACCACGAGCACACGAACGATGTTGTTTTTTGATATCTTCCAACTAGTCGGTCATACAGAACTATCTCATTTGCCTCATCTCGGTTTCTGTTCGGGAAGTGTGCGTTCCGAAGGGAATTTCGCGGTGATCTACTCTTCGGAAACCAAAACACGTTATCCCTTTGCCTTCCGCACGCTGTACTTGCTCTGTCACTTTTTGACTATGGTACGATGGTTAAAGGTTGGCTTCGAACTTCGGAGGAGCCAGGTTCTAGTCCCGAAAAATAAAGAAAAAATCTAACCGTTCATTCCCTTGAGCAGAGATTTCCTCCACCGTAAGGAGCAAGTTGTTGACTTGTAAGCAACAGGGACAGCGTGGTGTCCTGATGTGGTCTACTACAGTAGCGAGTGGCGCGAGGTATGGCCATTTTGGCTGATGCAGTCACATCTTAAGAACGCTATTCGCGTTGACCTCGTAGTAGCTGCCTGCTCGGTGCGATAGTTTGTACAGGGGGTAAGGCCTGTTGTTGTTCACTTCGTTGTTTGCATGTGCTTTTATGGGCTGCTCTTCATGGAGCACGTATCACATTTCGTATCAAAGCAAGGCATTGTTGTTCTTGTTAACGATGACTAGTCAAGCTTTTAATAGCAGAATATCCCTGATTTGTGACACAGCATACTGAAGAGCCTCGTCATACGGTGCATACAGTGATGCAAGCAAAGCAGTCCTTGAACAATTCACCTGGAAAAGTAGGAAGATTTGGAAAATTGTCATGGCCGAACATCCGCACAGCAAACAAACGAAAGAAAGCCTCGAGAACAACTCAATATCGCTATCTTTGTTGTCGTGATGTTTATTATTTAGAAAAATCACTTCACCAGTAAAGTGCTAAAGTCGTCATTCTTAGTGTTTTGCACCTCGTATTCTCGTTTACTCTATCGGTGCTTGAAACCGCGACATCTTTGACACCGTTAGAACTCCTCCCAGCTAAAATCACTAACCTGCCTTTAATCTAGGCTCGTCATTCACGCTGAAAAGGAGGGGGCGGGACATTCTACTACTACAACCCGTTCGGCGTCCTTCGACCCTCAGGGGTGTTTCTCCACTTTGAAAGATGCAGCATATGCATCGCACTCCCCGATTTTATGCTAATCTATGTCAGTAGTGAAGTAAAAGTATTTATATGTGATAAAGGTCAAACAAAGTTTCCACAGCTGTTTAGGGCATGTATTTGTAATCGTGCAGTTTTCGACTGACCGAATGTCAGTGTTTAACCAATCAAATATTTGTAATATATCCGTACCGATGCTACAATTCGTTTATACACATGAAAGGTTTTACTCTTGTAACCGACTTGATTCTCTGGTTGCTTCTGGCGCCAAGTCTTTGCTCGTTACTCCGTCGTTTACAGCCGAAGGTGATGCCAGTGTAAAGTGATATTTGAATGCTTTGTGCTTCTCTTAACGCGAACATTCATTACATGATCAAATTGATTTCTGTGAAGAAGCTTCCCTATACCAAGTATAATGATGCACGATTCTTTCTCGAAAAAATGTTCATGATAGACTGTCCGTTGTTTGCACAAAGTCGCAACAACTTCATGCCGTTATTATTGAGGTCATTAGGGGCGCTCTTTCCAGTCACGCCTTTCCACTTTTCAGTGTCTGCTCCAGCATACGCATTGAAATCGTCCATTAGAATGATGGACCCCGTAGTCGGCGTCTTCTACTTCCTTCAGGAAGGAGTCATACTATCCGTCCGATTTGGAGTCAAGGAACTATAAGAGGATCAGAGCTTCACTAATTAAATATTTTTTCACGCTTCAAGCAGTCTTTTTCTTTATCTGTTATCATTAACATTTATTTTGAAGTGAACGATATGAAAATTTTTTTACATTTTAGTCATAGTAACGTTTTTCTTAATTATTCTTCCAAACAAGCTGATCGATGAAATTGCAACCGTCTTTCAAAGAAGAAAAGCTGATACATTCGTTATGCAGTCAACTTTTCTTAGTCAAACATTGTTATAATTCTTTGATGACCATCGCGATATTTGCTCACTCTTTGTCAAAGGAAATGACATTCCTCAGCCTAAGAGTTTCTCAATTAGAAAGCATGGGCAACAATGCTAGAATGGTGCGTTTTCTTATCCTCTAGAGCTGCTAGATGTTCGGTAACTCTTTAATCCAGCCTCATGCGGTTTTCTCAGTGTATATCTTATCACAGTCGTTGCGTTCGACCTTATAAACCACGTACATTTAGTCGGTACGCGTTTTCTCTTTGTGATTGGTGCGAACAATGCCAAGATCGATGTTAATCGCATTTGGTTTGAAGAGTCAAGGGACGTTGTGTTTTTATTTTATCACGAAGTCTTCCGGAACATGAATTAGCGAACGGATGTACGGAATGAGGGGACATGACATTCGTAGTTTGGTGAACAGTTCTATTTTCGAAACATTACAGTTTTGAATGTGTTCCAGGTCACTTTGTCGTCATGACTCCGATTTCTCAGCTTGTAGGGAAACACTATTTTGCCTCCTTCGTCGCAAATAACGCTTTGTGTCAGTTAAAGTACAGTTGCAGCTCGACTTATGTAAATTCGCTTTACTTATTTCTTGAGACTGCTATGGGAAAAATTTAGAGTTATATAAATTGTACTTAACGCGCCTACGTTACTAGCACGCCACCTTAATGCGGTCTTCCGCAAGGCAGACAGTATACACAAAGCATGTTTTCGCCGTGGTTGCGTCACCTCGCTCAGTCTCATGTTGTTTACTATTGAACACATGCATGCTGTGTACTTGTACTCATATTATAATAATTTTTCGTGTCTGCATGCGTTGTAGTAGAGTACAATTACGAATAGAAAAGGAAAAAATGGAAAAAGTGAACTGATTCATAAACGCACCAAAACTGACCTGTAAGTGAAAACAGAAATTATGAGATTGTACGAAGGTGCGCAAAGCTTAACTTCCATAGGAGCTGATCGTGGTCTCCTTCCATTAACATTAAGTACAGTTATAGACGATATTGCGTGCATAAAGGAACGTGTAAAAGGATCCACATCCTTTGGCATGGTTCAGTCAACTCTTGATAATTTAATACTGACGGTCGAACGGTCAAGTTGAACATGTTTATTTTTCTATTTTCTTTTAGTATTTGTACTGTATTGCTTTATACTATACTTTGCAAGGATAATAGCATATTGAAATCAATTTTGTGTGCTTTCTGTGAATGAAATTAACAGAAATAGTCTTTAAAACATGTTAATTTACTGCTGTATGCACGTGCTGTAAACACGTAAGCAATAAGGGGTCATTAACGGTGGAGGGTGGACGTGGGCTAAATCCACCTTACCTGAAATCCGTGTTACGTAGAGTTTTACACAGGTAACTGTTGCGCAAGTCGGCGTCTGTGTGTAATTGATGTAGGGTCTCTGAGGGATAAGGATATTTTCCTTAGGTTCCTGTTCGTGATTTCCCGTCGTGTGTGGTAACAAATTAACAATACTGTGCGTCCTGTCATTGTCATGTGTCTGTTGTAGTTTTCTAAATTTTAGTTCTTTAGGCATGCCAATATGTCTCGTGCTGGCTGGTTTGCAGAAACATTACCAAGTTTTCAAAGGGATCGAGCTGTTGTACAATGACAAAGTACGTAATGCTGATTTGTCTTCCTATCGGAACGAGTACCCAGTCAGATGAGCTTAATTATAGTTGTGCATATATGCTGTTAAGATTGGTTGTTCAATCATTAGAACGTTGGACTCAGAAGCAAGAGGTCCTGCGTTCGAGTCCAGATCCGGTGGCTCGCCTTTCTTCCTTCTGACGTTGATAAATCTTGTACCACTCTGTTTGATAAAACAAGACACCATGCTAGCTACATGGCTACTCTTGACTCTGTCTTGAGATGAAGCATTCCTGGCTGATGGATCAGTGACCATTAACTTCAGGGATTGGAGGACGGCAAAAGTGGCCCCATCATGAAAGCTCAGAACGCCGTCATTCCAGTATTTACAGGCTTTCCTTTCGTTCATTGCTATATGTACATGAAAGGATTAACCAATGTATTCTGGATTTACTAACAAAGTGGCAGTTTTCGATACTACCAGGAAAAACGGCAATCTCTTTTCGCTTCTACGGGTTTACCCGGTGTAGCGCACCGTCCACTTGCTTCTAGTCGCTTAGGGGATAGTTTAGCCAGACCAAGGTTCCGTGGTTATAACCTCTGCAGATAGTGTGATACCGTGGAGTCGTCGACTGCTTAAACGATCCCAAAAACGACTAGAAGCAAGGATTTCAGGAATTTAGAACTCACCGACTATTTTATTAACAAAAAGCGGTTTGTGGCTGTCAGAAGTCCATCTTTTAAATAGCCGCCTTTTGTGCCCTACAAATCAGCCCGATATTTACTTTGCTTTTGGTCTTCTACACTAGCGATTTCTTTCTCGACATCAGTAATATTTTTCCAGTTGTAATGATGGCGCTACAAATGCTGCAGCTGTGATTGACGTCTCCAAACTTAGCAGCGATAAAGTAAATTGTGTCGCTTTGCTAGAAGTTCACAGAATGCGTTTCGACAGCTGAATCTCAAAAAATGTCGGAAAATGTGTCACTTAAACGGCAGTACTAAAAGTTCATAGGTTTCTTACTAACGCTACCCTGTTTCATAAATTTTAAAACTTTATGAGGTATTTTGGAATCGTTCTGATGATCTGAAGATTTGTTTTTGTCCGAACTTGTGGAGCTGGTTGCAGATTAAACGCCGAAAGGTATATATAGGTTTATCCCTAATCCTAAATGCTTGTGACCAAGATTTTTTTGAATTTTGGATTTTTCCGGATTTTGGAATTTATGATATGGTGGAGCTGAAGAGAATTTAGAAAAAGTGTGAATCGATGAAGAAACTTATAGCGGGTCGAAATATAAACGATTGAAACCATCTAGCACGTTTTCTCACCCAAATTGTCCATTTGAACACACAAAATAACGAATCTGCTTCCTTTGAATAAAAATATTTGTGGCTGAAAACAGTGAATTCCTATCCCAAAGTGCTGCTATGAGAGTGAAGTTAAGATGTTCCAGAAAGCGGCGTAGCACCTTCTTACAAATCACAAGAAAAAGAACTCACCTGGTTATTCTACAAATTGAAACGACCCGGGTTTCGTTCCAGTACAACATCATTAGGTACAGAAAGACATTTTCATACAGCTTATGTAGGTTGGAAGGGAATGAGCTTTAGGAAGGGGAAGGAAGAGAGGGTGAAGTCAGAAGTCAATGGGTTTTCGTGATAAAATGCAAGCATGAAAATAGGGTATATTTGACGTGTTTTTCCTCTTGACCCTGCAGACAAAATGAGTTGTGACCAAAAGTGTTGACGAATTGGACATAAACTTACGATAAAGTTTGACCCCCGGCACTCGTTAAGGACAGAGGGAGGTTCTTTTCTGATTAGCTGGGGATCAGAAGATACGACTGCCGATGGAAGTTTAAGGGGAAGAGGGACGGGAAAGTTGTTACGATCGTTGTTCATATTATCCAAAGATATTTCAGAAAACTCAGGAATGAGGAGCGAGTTAATAAAATGTTACGGAATTCGGAATTTTTCATTTAGGAGATAATCAGCCTATATTGTCTTATTGGTTTGAGAAAACTGTAGCACCAAAATTCCGTTTGTAACTTTTCATTTAATTCTTCGACAGTAGTTATTTCTTTACTTTTGCGACCCTGTCTTTTTCATGATTTCGTGACATCATCGTCGTCATCATCATTAGCGCATAGTCCCCAGAAGACCGTTGTGCTAATCAAAAGATTGCTCTCGGCCATCGTGTTGTCGAGCAGGGGCTGGAACGCTGCTGCGGTGATTTAAATTATATATTTTTTGGTTTATTGTCCTTTTGTCATATCTTATTGGAGTAAGGGAGACATAGAGTGTGTTAGAGCAGCCTCGTTACTCCAGTGTGAGCGGATGCATGCTTTTAAATCAGATGCCTCCATTGGTCACTAACAGAGGATGGTTCATCTGTTGACCGGCTGAACATTGGCAGCCGCTTACCAGTCACTGGATGGCGATGAGCACGAGTAGGTTTTGTAATCATCCATTAAGGCCTCGTTTGCCGAGCCGGTCGACATCTCTTCATGGCTAGCGTAGCGGTTGAGGGGGAACAGTTCTCACCCTGCTGAACAATTCCTTAATTAGAACGTTGTCCACTCCCTGAGATGATAGTTTTTAGAGAGCAACTTCGTAATGTCGATCTTCATATATTGCGCTGAGCCCTAAATTGGTAACAAGTGATGTGGCTACGTCGATTTTGAAATTCTGGTGAAAAAACTCCTAAAATGCAAGTGGAAAGCTTTACACCATTTAGACACTGACGCCTTTCCCAACAAGAACCATTCATTTCACCTGACCATGTAGCATTGTGTATCTGTACATGCCTGCATACTGTCGAAAATATAAATCTTCTGTCGAAGGGAGGTGAATCATCATTCATTACTGTGGCAGGATGACATGGTTATGGACCTATCATCGGGTGATAATAAGTAGTGTAAACTCTTGCTCAGCCTACTTATCTCATAACCTACACTACAGTGTATTAGCTTGTCCGTCTTATAGGTATGTCTTTTTGCTTATATTCAGGCAAAATCCGATCATTTATGCATCCTTTCACAAATCCATTGATGTGTTCTTTCGTCCATTCATTTCATTCATCCGTTCATCATTTCATTCTTTCATACATACAGCGTTCGACCACGAACTCTTTCATGCCTCCATTGATTCGTTCATTCGCGTGCCGATCCGTTATCACTGGTTGTCTAAAACACCTCGAAAGAGGTTAAGATGTTACCTTGCTGGGCTTAGATCCCCTCTCTTATGCCTTGCACGTATTTTACCGACGTAATTATTTGCAGCGTGCGAACCAGTTTGTGATCAAGTTTCGTCTTTTAGGCACCGCTGGCGTTCGACGTGCTCTTAAACCTGACTTGCGATGGTATCAAACTAGGATTTGATGCGAGTTTCCAACGCCTTAAGGTAATATCACTGCCTAATTACGCAAATTCTGAGAGTGATTTAGGCACTACTGCCCGAAGGTAATCTTTGATCGACGAATATTTTTTACAGTAATTTTGAGCCCATTCAGGTGTAGTTTGATCAAAAGTCGAAATTTAAGTAAGAAATCTTTTCGAAGACATGGTTAAAGTGAGTAAAAGGCAAAGGGTTATTTGAATAAATTTGTCTAAGGCCAATTTTCGGACCATTTAGGTCATTTTTGGCATTGATGATGGACTCTGTCATATGGTCCGAAACATCGGCCTAAAATAAATTTATTCGCCTCTTTTTTGTGCCTATAAACATTGTATCGGAAAACCTGATGTTTTAAGGACTTCTTACTTAAAATAGTGGCATTGAATAGGTATGAATTTCGAGAGACATAGACAACTGTCTATTACCACAGTTTTTACTGTTTATTTTGCCTCAGGGTAAAATGAAAGCTCAATCTGAATATAAAAGCCGGTTAATTATAGTACAGACGTTGTAAGCAGGACGATATCTGTGCTTTAGAACTATAAAATATGGAGCTGTTATAGTCACTGCCCAGTGTAATGTTATTCGCTGAGTCGTAAATTGATTGCTTGATCAC